TTAAGTTTGGGGGAGGGGAGAAAATTTTTAAAACTAAACCTTATTTGTTCTGAGTAAAATATATTTTAAAAAATTACTTTAATATAACATGTGGTATGTTGAGATAGCTTGAGATAACTATATTTTTGATTTTATAAATAATGTAGTAAACTTAAGTAAATTTTTTTAATAATAAGATTAATTCTGGATTTGAGATATTTAGTATAAGAGTATAAGATTTTGTTTTTCCTATTTTAAGAAAGAAATTTGTACTTTTGAAAATTTTAAAGATCTTGGTTTTTTATTTGAAAAGAAAGAATTTAGATTTTATGAAAAATCTTTTTCTTGTCTAACACATTTATCAAGTGAGGAAATGTGAAAAAGTTTTAACTTTAAGAAGAGGATGGTGGAGTTCAAAATCATTCAAGACTATCAAAAATACTATCCAAATATAGTAATCCTTGCATGAAATGAAAATAAAAAGAAAGGATTGAAAATAATCCTCAAAGAAAAAGAAAAGAAAAGTAAAAAGAAAAGAAAAAGAAAAAGAAAAGAAAAGCAAATAGAAAAATAAATGTGAGTCATCTTAGGGAAAGGGATTTAATTACATTTTTGAGCTTATTTAAGAAGTATTAGCATCCTTACTAGTAATGTTCTCATGATATTCTTTTTCATATAATATTTCTAAGTCTCTTTAATATGACAAATTACAATTATTCTTGAAATAAATAGAAGATCAGAATTCTTAAACTTGACTACTAAATAGTTTTATATTCTAATTTTAGCCTATGTTATTAAAAATTTTCTAAAGTTTCACTATTGCATTTATAAAACAAAAACTATGATAGAAATCTTCAAGTAAAACTCACTTCTATAAGTTATACTTTTTATAGAGTTTACTTGAGGACAAGTAAAGTTTAAGTTTGCGGGAATTGATCCACCTTAAAATGGCCTATTTTTTATGCATAGTTTATGCTCAAATTTTGAGGATATTATGCTTTAATGAAGGGTATTTTTATTTATTTTGTTGCAGATGCAAGAAAAAGAGTTTAAGTGTAAAAAGAAGTAAAAATGCATTAAAAAGGGGCAATATGGGCTAATTGAAGAAAAGTTTCAAACCAACCAAACTAATGCCTAGGCGCCTGAACTGGTATCTAGGCGTCAGGATCTGGCGCCTAGGCGCCAGATACAAAAATTTATCTGGAGCCTAGGATCTAGGCACTAAAAACGGTTTTTTAGAAAGTTCAATGAATGTGGGCAACGATTGGGCACCTAAGCACCACAGTTACTTTCTAGAATATTCATTGAATGAGACTGAATTTTGAAGATATATATGCATCAACCCTTTGTCCTTCTTGAAGCTCTATAAATATGGATTAATTCTAAAGGGCTAGTGGCTCGAATTTAAAGAGTCTCATAGTGTGTGAGTGTGTTAATTTTGTGAGAAGTTTTCTTTGTGAGTATTTTTGAGTTTATGAGTCTTGTAAGTGTTGCTAGAGTCAAAGAAGTCAGAGAACTTCAAAGGCATGCTTGCGGGAACATTCTAGGTAAGTATTTGTATCTTTGTCCTTAAGTTTTATACTTTGGATTCAAGTTTTATAAATATGTTTTGTTTTGTTATCCTCACGATTCTGAGTAGTTTTCTTTTCTTTCTCCTTGCAATATGAAGTAATTAAGTAAGTGATTTTGAGCTTGTTTAGAATTTTTTTTATTCCTAAAAATTGTGATGATATTTTTACCGGTCCTTCATTTACTTTACAAAATGGTCACTTGTATTTTTAAAACTTGTTGAGGAACTTATAGACCAAAAAAACTAAGGGTTCGTTTGGAGCAACTTATTTGGTACGCTGACATTTTGAAAATGCACCTAGCTTATTTGGGTAAACTGCGTTTTGGTAGCTTATGCGTTTTCAAAACACTGAAAAAAATATTTTCACACCACACCTATCTAGGTGCGGTGGCAGCTTTCTGACAGCGGTATGAATTTTCCAAAAAAATAAAAATTTGTAATAGCCACCGTACCTAGTTTATCAACAAATTATTTTTAATCAGCTTATCAACATATTAGTCAATAAATTGCAGCTGCCCTGAACAGACCTTAAGATTTCTTGACCTGTAAGTATCACATTCTACCTTGGAAAGAGCAGTCGCGATTTTCTAAAGGGGAGGTGCAAATAAATACGGAGATAAGCTTTGTTAGGTGTAGAATTGATGTTTCTAGAGTGACAGGCAAGATTTTTTTATTAATTTTGTCTTGAGATTGGAACTAATGGTCACTAGTAGCTTCTATAGAAAGGGCACAATGGGTAATCGAGGAGTGAGAGACTCGAACATACCCAACACTACTATACATACACCAACTTTAGATTAGTCAATATTCTTTGCACCATTCAAATGAAAGTAAAGAAATATGTATACTCCTACTTGTCACAATACCACATTTACGTTTCTAAACAAATTTTGAAATCCATCATTGATTATGAATTATTGGCAAGGAGAACGTCTCTTTATATATTGTTTAAGTCATTGCATTTACTTTTATTTGCATATTGTAGAATTTAGTAAACTTAATTTTCTTCTTTAGATAGTTGCTGCAATCTTAAGTAAAGTTTTCTTAAAGTCAAAACTCATGTATTTTATTTTATTATTTACTTATTTTCGGCTTCATCGATAGATCGATATTGGGGTTTTTAAAGAAAGCTTTATATTACTTGAAACGATACATATACTTGCGTAGTACCCCTAGTGAGAAAATTATTTCCTTAGTGATATTACATTTGTTTTCACTGGCCACTAAATATAATTTGGGCCAAATTTTTGGCATATTAAGGAACATAAATATCTGCGTAATTACGAGTCAGGTCAATAAGTTGTCTGTCTATTTGTTTTTTACAGATTGAAAACAACTGTGTTGCAGCTATTTTTGAACAAATGATCATTCTACCACAATATTGTAATGTTATTTATGATAGAGCTGTTCATTCTAGTTCATCCCATAATTGAAAGCAAATATCTAGTTCGAACGTTACCAAATAAAAATTGACGCATTACTAAATAAGAAGTAGCACGACTATTGAATTATAAAAAAAGATAAAAAAACAATCAATAAGATGATAATATTATTTTAAAATGCAGTTGGTGTAGGTCATAAGACGAGTCGTCCTCTAAGGAAACTCACCATGCTTGATCACTATCAACTATCGATTCCTCCAATTCATCTGCCCACCTAAATAAGTTACTGTTTCCTTGTCTTCTCACCGGACACCTGTAAAATTGTCTCCAAATAGCTGCCATAAATATAACCACATGAGAAGTGGGTGCTATATTTGTAAATTTCTCTGAACTTTAGAGAATAATCATGAGATATTTGGGTAAATATCCTGAAACCTTTTTTTATTTATTTTTGATATAGGAATTATTTTTCCCCTAAATAATCCAATCATTCAAAATTTCTTTTTTTCTCAAAAATACTTTTAGAATAATTTTTCCAAGCACGGTACACCAACCCCACATAATCCAATCATCCAACAAGGTCCATTTACTTACACAACACACAATTCTATTGAATTTACATATCTCACACAATAAATTTAATATTCATGCACATAACACTCAAATATGTGAAACCAAATCAAGGCGAACACCATTACAACATAAGCAATATAGAGAAACCATGGTGAAATAGTCAAATACACATGAGTACGACTACCATCTTCCCTCAAATGACAAAATATGGATTCGACAATCATGAATATAAACACATAAAACTTGTGTGTTGGCTTTGTAAGTTGTAAATTCCCAATTGAAAAAGGAGCACGCGAAACCATCAAAATGAAAAAAAAAACATAAAGTCCCAACAGAAATAGGAGAACCTGTAATATTACTGTTAAGACAAGCTTGATCCCTATCCAATTTCTTAATGTACACAACAAAAACCTTGATAAGAAATGCTCAAGCCTCTAATATCTTTTTTCAATATTTTCACTCAAATATAAAAAATTATGATGAAATCTCAATCCATGTTTAATCAAATAAACAACAACTGAGAAATAAACAACAACCGAAAAGCTTTGTTCATATATTGCTCCAACCATTTCTTAAATTCATATTCACATATCACAAATCAACATAAGAAGAAGGAAGCAAAATTGCCGAAACCAGGACTAGTTTGATACACATGTAATCATTTCTAAAAAACAAAATCAATGTAAGAACTGACGAAATGTATGCTGAAATGATCACAAACCTATCAAATAAATCACAAAACATATTCTTTGTATGTAAAAATGGGGTTGTAGCCACCGAGAAAATAAAAAAATACAAATCTTCGGTCCTTATATGTAAAATCCCAAAAAAAAAAAAATCACTACATGCAAACCATACGGCACATAGAGCAAATTCATGAAGAAGAGATGAGGGGGAGAGGATACCGGAGGAAGAATGAAGCACACCAGCAAAAAACTTTATTCAAATATGTCGGCGATCCAAAAAAGGCGTGGAGAAAAAGCTCTAAGCAGATCACTTATGAGATAAAAGCGAGCGGGACGAAGGGAACGAAAGGAAAAATGATCATATAATGCGGAATAATCTAACTTTGGATCGCGGCGTGTTTAATAAATTATGCTCACGCCACACTAAACAAATGATGAAATTCAGGGTAGCAGCAGCATCGCAGCTCCACAGTTTCGCCGTTTAGACCCTAAATCTTAGTTAACGGAAATTAGATTTGTTTTCCTTCTCCCATTAATAGACCTCGCTCATGATCTTTGCCCACATACACTTCTATTCAAAATTTAAATACAAATCACTCTCCTTAAGCCAAAATAAATTAAGGTGTGCGGCAGGACATTTAAAAATTTGAAAAGCTTTCTACAATAATTCCGTATATTAATGGCCTGGTACCTGGATGTCTTTCTACGGTCAATTGAAAACTTTCACATTAAGGAAAGCTTCTGTGGCATGTCACCAGTCGCACTCTCCTCTATAGCCGAGGTAGCCTGCTGCTTGACCACCTAGTGCGCATGACCTCCGCTTCCCGTCTTTATCTACCGGTCGATCTCCGGCGAAGATGTCGATTTCTCGGCAGAGCTGTTGAACTTGCTCACAACCGAGAAAGAAAAACCCCCTCAAGTGCGTTTTTCAGTTCCCAAGCCTCAACTGCGGCTGGGGTTCTCGCGTGGGCGATGGCCGCCGTTTTAACCGGCAATCTTGCTACGCTTCCAGATGTCTTTCCAGGTCCAGTTAAGTTATATGCATCGAAGTTTCCTCTAAAATATTTAGGGGATGTTGCACAAAGATGTTGTTTTTGGTTTATATTGACGGTGTTTCTTTAGCTTTGCTCAGTAATTCTTCACGCTTCAGCCAATCGATTACTTCGCTTTAGGCTTTATTTGTGTCTTGTTCTGGATTCTGGATTTTGCTGTGGTTATCTAACACAGAATTCATGGTCCTACAGTTATTTGTGTCTCATCTTGATACCTGTCTCTAAGAAAATTTGGCATTATCCTTTGAAATTGATCCTCACCTTATGATGTTTATGAGGCGCAGCGATATTTCTATGTTCTTGCTGTTTTTATCATAATTTTCTATTCGTTCTTTCACGTTTTTCTTGCTTGTGCTCTGATTGTTGTTTCAGCAATTGGTAAATAGTTCAGATTGTATTATTTGGTTTCAGTTCTTGCTTTACACCTTCTCATTATTGAATTACCGTAGTCTCTTTCAGATCATCTCTAATTTCTGCCATATTTACCATCTTAAGCAACATGTATTTTCTTCTAAATTAACCTCCTGAAATTTTAGAAAATCCATCATCCGAAGCAGATATTTATCCGCTTCTTCTCTAAAATAGAACTTTTGAAGTTATTTATCTCATTCGCTTCCAATTTCGTGCTTCTACAGTTCTTTCATAGGACTTGTATGCTGCTGTAGTTGATAAACAAAATATTACATTTCTTTGTGGTTTATTAAGCTTTCTTAGCCTTCTTTCTATTGTTTGTAGGCATTGGGACAGGTGAGGCATTCACCGGAACTTATGGCATAAATTACGGTAGAATAGCTGATAATATTCCTCCACCTGAAATAGTGGTCTCTCTTCTTAAAGCAGTAAAGATCAAGAATGTTAAGATCTACGATTCCGATCATGGCGTGCTTAGGGCATTTAAGGGATCCGGGCTTGAGTTAGTTGTGGGACTCAGCAATGACTATGTCAAAGAAGTAAATTCCAGTGAAGACCGAGCCATGGAATGGGTTAAGGAAAATGTTCACTCATGGTTACCTGATACACATATCAGAGGAATAGCAGTTGGTAATGAAGTTCTCGGAGGGGCAGACCAGGACCTCGAAGCAGCATTGTTTGGTGCAATAAAGAACGTTTATAAGGCTTTATCGCGGCTTAAACTGACTGATCTTATTAAAATCTCGTCACCGCACTCACAGGCTGTTTTCGCTAACTCATATCCTCCATCAAATTGCACATTTAAAAGCAGTATTTTTCAGTATATGAAGCCCATCTTGGACTTCTTTTCAGAGATTGATTCTCCTTTTTCGCTCAATATATATCCATTTATAGCATACAAAGGTGATCGTCAGCATATTGACCTTAATTATGCTTTATTACAGCCAAATCATGGAATAGATGACCCTATCTCTAATCTGCATTATGACAACATGTTTGATGCTGAGATAGATGCAGCTTATGCTGCTTTGGAAGCTGCAGGGTATGGTAAAATGGAAGTTGAGATTACTGAGACAGGATGGGCTTCTGGTGGTGATGAAGATGAAACTGGAGCTTCGCCTCAAAACGCTCAGACATACAATTATAATCTACGCAAAAGGCTTTTCAAGAGAAAAGGAACACCACGAAGACCCAAAATTGTTATAAAAGCATATATATTTGCCTTGTTTAATGAGGATTCGAAGCCAGGGCCAGGTTCTGAGAGGCATTATGGACTATTTAAGGCTGATGGGAGTATTTCGTATGATATTGGGCTTTCTGGTGTTTCATCGTGGCATGCATCATCCTCATTTTATGCTCTAAAGGTATGTACTGTGTTCTATCTTTCTTTGAAGTCTTTACTTCTAATTTTAGATAGAATAAAACTCTGTCGTTAGGAGTGAAATTAATATCTTTTGCATATTTAGAGATTAAATTAGATATTATGATATATCCACTGATTTTCTGAGTAGGAGATGTGGAATCACCACGGCTTTGAATGTTAATTCTGATAGAAGATGGGAAATCAAATTACCTGTTTATAATTTCAATTATGTTTTTTTTTATTCAAATTGCTTATGAGAATTTTATATTTAAAATATGAACTTGATGGTTATTTGGAATCCCATTGAGATGTGTGTCAGTCATGTCCACTTACGTAGAGATGATTTGTTTATAAATTGATATTATGGGGCATGGAAAATTTTTAATTTAGCTTGAATAAATCTTTTTCTAATCTCAATCTTGTGAGTGCAAGGAATGTGTGATTCTTTTGATGTGACATAAGTGTGATTGCCTAGGGGAAAATAACTCCTTATGTTGGTAATATTAATTTGTTGAATATTGAGTAAGCAAAATCAAGCTAGTAATTTCATTAATTTGATTAAATCATAAATTGATAATTTGAAAGTTAAATAAGTTCACGCACATGATATAGAAGTATATTTCAATCACAAAAATGAATCAGTTCATTTGAATGTTAATTTTAATTAGGGATATGGGAATCATCGCAATAGACAATTTTGAGTATTCAACAATCATGCTCATAAAAATCACAAATGTTAAAATTTTGATATAGACCATGTTATATTAGAAAAGTTAAGTTGAAGATTCTGATTTTGATGTTAAAAGTGACCCTAAAGTTCTTCTTCCTAGATGCGAATAACTTCTTGAATAATAAATCATGTTTAATGAATTACAAGTAGGATTTGCAAAAATAGAGTTGACTCGTCAAACTAAACTTTAGAGGATGTGTAACACCCAATTTTGACAAATTTAAGGTATATCTCAATATTTGCATCCTTCAGAATTTGATTAAATTAATTTTATAAAATTCTATATGTCGAATCGATGAATTTGAAATATAGTACCAAACTTAAATTTTAAATGCTTAAGAGAATCAAAATTTCAAAGTTATAAGTTAAATTATTTCAATTAATCCTAATAAATTTCCTAATCTCCCGTATCTGCACTATCCTAGCCGACTTTCATGTACTTAGATGTGCATGCGTTGGCTTTATTTGATCAAACGACAGCTAGCTTAAGTGCATACAATAAATTGCTGCACTACCTTTCAATTCTCCCCCTTCATATTCTCAGTTTCACTTGGTTGAATAGATCCCGCGAGTTTTGCGATCTTGCACTATAGTAGGCTTGATTGGTGCGTCTTACAGGGACACAAACGACAATTTTGAGCTCTGGGGCGAAACTGGTAAGATGGAATCTCATTTCGGTGTTTGCCACGAATTTGTACACTTTTCATTTCTAGTCTCTCTAGCGAGAGGCGAGCTTATGTCAGAAACTACAAACTTAATTTGTAGGCTTCCGTATGGGTCTTTAGCCAGAAATCGACGAAGTGAAGGGAATAAGAGTAAGGGTAAGAAGAATAAGATGTATCGCAGAAGAGCTGGTTATGCAGAAAGCCCATTTGAGATAAAAAAGTTATGTTTGATCTTAAATCATGAAATGAGCCAAGATTTCATGAAATCCTAAGATGTTTATGAATTCCAGGTTGTTTACAGTAGGCGACATGCTCAAGACTAGCTTAGAGAAACTCGTTGTAGGGCTGCTCCGTCGTTTCAGGCGAAATAATACTGTGCTAACTTAATAAAAATAACTCTATAGATTTTCAGGTGATTATGTTTGATAGTTGATATTTTTACATTTAGAATTTCTGCATATTGTTGATGAATACCTACATAAACTGTACGAATGTAAACATGAATTGTCACTTATGATGCCTATGATTTTATTATGTTATGAACCTAATGAACAAGCTTATGAAATCATTGTATGATTCATGCATATGATATATGAAAATTTATGATGAATGTTTGTTACGTATATTATGATTTAAGTAACGTCACAATTGATATTATAGGTAGGCGATTGCACGTGTATTTGCAATTATGGATGATAGAGAATGATTGGATTCCTGACTTCTGATATTTAAATAGAAATGAAACTCCGAAAATCATTGGAATCAGACGATGATGGAACGTAGGGAACCATTCATACCAAGGGGTTTTTGATAACTACTATATTGGGAGGGGCCCAAACTTTATCAATAGTTGATGCAATCTTCGGGTTGGGTGACGACCCAAAAATATGACATTACATGAAGATAGTTGAGACCTATATAATTACAAGTGACATTCTTATGATTAGATTGATTACTCTAATCAATATGTTTATGATTACCCATACATGAATGATTACATATTTTATACATCTGTCATATTTTTCTATATTACATTTTTTTTACATGTTTTTCTGCAATTATATATCTCGTGACACGTGTTGTGGATATGTATATGAGTTATATACGAGTATACATTTATTTTTCATCAATAAAATCTCATTCTAGCGTTCATTATTTGGCTAAACTCTATTGCTCACTCGACGTTGTTGACTTTCAGGAATGATAAGAAACACATGATGAGTAGTTATGTGTGACTTGTACAACTTTTTTTTCATTGTTTTAAGAGTTTTTATAGATTTTGGGTACATACTTTTATTGCATTGGATTTAGTAGCTTCGTATAAATATATATCTGTTTTGGTGATATGATTTTTCACGCTTCCGAATCTATACGAATATGAATGAATTGTAAAATGAAATGTATCAAGTATTCTTGCAGCGATTTTGTTAGACTAGTTCGTTACCTCACACATTGGGTTCTGATTTTTAAATGAAGACGAGTACTAATACGAATTTAGTCCGACCGAATTGTCCGTCTTTGTCACACCACAGTTGACCCTTAAGGAGGGCAGTTAGGGTGTGATAGAAAGTGTTATTAGCGCATGCTTATTTTATGAAAAGAACGATGAAAACGTGTTAGATTTGGAATAAGTAAGAAAGATTTAATATAATTCGATTTATACAGAACTTTAGATTGATGAATGTGATATTGGTTACTCATATATTGGCCACCCATATAACTTAAGATATTATGCATATGTGACAATTATTATATGATAAATTGTATTGAATAACAAATTGTGCCAAAACATATGAATATGCATGGATGAGAATCAAGAAGTATTGAGTGGAAATCTCCTAGGCCAATTGCAGGGTAGGAAGTACGAGCTGAAAATGTAATATAAATGATATTCAGAATAAAGCAAATGAGGAAGTTAAGGCCACTGTGTTACAAGGTATCATTCAGTTGATATTGCAAGTGATTAGCAAAATGACTACTGTTGAAAGATCATTCAATAGTGCATGACACAGATCTGAACTTGGGGCAGAAGATGATTGACATTTGGAAATCTTTCAGACTTTTAAGCCACCTGCATTCAAAGGTGTCAATGACCCTATAATTTTGGAAAATTGACTTTTAAGAATTAGAAAGATTCTTGATGGTATTATTTGTCGAAAAAACAGGAGAGTGGCACTAGCTACTTTCATGCTAGAAGGTGAGACAGAGAGGTAGTGGCATACATAACATAGAGATAAATTTTAGCAGACACCTCTTCCATTAATTTAGTGGGATGATTTTGTTATATTTTCTAAGGATTGATTCATTCCGCTTTCAGCCAGATTAGTATTATAAGATTAATTATTCAAATTGGCTATGTGGTCTAGATCCATTATATAATATGAGATAATTTACTTATATTTCAATATATGCACCCCACTATATCAGTACTTAGTAATAGAAAATGCCACAGATTCCTTCACGGCCTCAGAGATTAGTTCAGGTTGACTTTGGCACCTTTCGAAATTTATGATTTCTCAGTTCTATTTAAAAGAGCCATGCGAACTAAAAATGAGTTGAATTCTGCAGTCAGCGGTGGCAACCTCAAACAAGTAAGAGAAATGAATTTGGCAAGGGAGAAGACTTTCGAAGCAAGAAAACTAAATCATAAGCTAAGCAAAATTTTATTATATGATAAATTGTATTATATCATAAATTGTGCCAAAACAAATGGATATGCTTGGAGGGGAATCAAAAAGTATTGGGAAGAAGTACTTGCTGAAAATATATTGAGCAGTAATAGTAAACAACACAAAACAAATGAAAAATTAGAGCCATTGAGTTACATGACGTAATTCAGTTGATATCTCAAGTGATTGATAAAATAACTGCTATTAAAAGATTTTACATCAGTACAAGACCCAGATCTGAACTTGGGGTAGAAGTTGATTGACACTTAAAGATCCTTAAGACATTTAAGTCACCTGCATTCAAGTGTGGCAGTGACCCTATAAATGTTGAAGATTTACTTTTAAAAATTGGAAAGATTCTGGATGGTATGATTTGTTCATAAAAGAGGAGAGTGGTATTAGTCACTTTTAATCTAGAAGGTGAGGCAACATAGAGAAAAACTTCAGTTGATGCCTTTTCTACATATTCGATTGGATGATTTTGTAGAAGTTTTCAAGGATGGGTTCATTTTACTTTCAGTAAAATTAGCATTATAAGATAAGTTCCATTATACAATATGAGGCAGAATTTACTTTTATCTTCAGACATGTACTCCACTATGTCAGTACCCAGGATGAAAAATGCCACAGATTCATGTGCAACCTCAGAGATCAGTTGAGTTTGACTTTGGTGCTTTTCAAAATCAGTATTTTTTTTAGTGCTAGTTGAAATAGCCAGATGAATTGAAAATGAGCTGAACTTATTCATCCAATAGTAGCAACCATAGGCAAATAAAAATAAAAGATTTTGGCAAGTGAAAAAACTTCCAAAATAAGAAAATTAAATCAGATGGTAATCAGAAGCTGCCTCAATTAGAAAGGTAGTTCCTGAGAAATGTGGAAAAAATATTTTGGGAAGTGTTGGATGGGTTCCAGAAAGTACAACAATTGTGGACAA